CATGTATGCTATTGTAAATGATGATTTCAATCTTAAAAAAAACATTGTCAATATTTTAATCTATTAGTTTGTGGCTAAATTAGAAATTTTTAACTATTTGTTATGTCAAGTTATAATGATTTAGTGTTCATCCTAAATTCCTAATTGTATTTATTGTATGATTCCATGGTATGTGTGTGACGTCTGAAATTGTACATCTTGAATAGAATGTGTATGTGGATTATCTTAAAATAACATATGTTATTTATCTAACATCACCGACTTTGCGCATTCTTCTACTATAATCATCATTTCATTGTGTCAACAGAAATGAACAGACCCACGAGACACTTTAATACCAACATAAATTTACAGCTTTGTAAGGAGTAGTACAATGACACCTATTAACAACAAGATGAACAAAATTATTTGCTTTTTTTGTATAATACGGTGGGTTGAGTTTGTCTTCACATGTAAATGAAGTTTGTTCATTTGTCTAAGACTTTGATCTTTTTAGTTTATGTTTTTAATTTATATTAAACTTTGTTCATATGGTTAAATCTTATACTATGTAATGTATGAGTAAGATATATTAACTATAGTTTAATACTCTCCTAAAATGGGTTGGAATTTTTTTGGACATTTAAATAACAAAAAAATAATAATTAGTTTTTAACATTTTATAATATATTAATTTTTCAGAGAATAAGCAAATATTTCAATAAATAAAATTTAAAGAAGTGATTTTTTTTTTAATTTAACTCAAATACATCCTATAGCCTTTATCAACCAAAAAAATAATTATAAAAAAAAATACATATATTTTATGCTAAAAATTCATCGTATTTATATTTTTAATCCAATAAAACAACTAAACTTAATATTTACCCAAAAAATAGCAACAAAATTTTATTTTTAACAAAAATCAACATATGTTTTGTTTTTAACCCAAGAACACAATGCATTTTTCTTTTTAACCCAAGAAAAGTATTTTTAACCCAAATTAGCAAGATACATATATTTTTAAATCAAAACTAAAACATACAATTCATTAATAAATATTTATATAAATACATAATGATGTATTTGTTGTTTTATGTTGACGTATTGAAGGTGAACGTGGTGAAAAGAATTATTATTAAATAATATATATTTATTTAAGTGTACTAACGTATTGATGAACACGGTGAAAGGTATTTATAGAGGAAAAATAAAAATAAAAATGAATATATATTGTTTTAGGCCGTTAACTCATATTCAAAATTCAAAATGAATTTTGATCACAAATGAAAATGTGCATCTTCAAATAAAAAACAAAATTTATTTTCACACAACTTTTTTTTCAACTGCAACAACACTATATTTTTGTTTTAAACCCAAAATAACTTATCTAAAAGGGTTAGCATCCAACTTACAAGTTACCATCTTCCAAAGTAAATTAGATTTATTATTACGAGTTTACCTTTTCATTATCTTCGTGTCAAAGTTGGGTACTCAATCATACATGTCTTCGAATAGAAATAATTATCGTAAAAAATTATTCGCACTCGTCGTTTGGCGCGGGTAAACGGCTACTATCTATATGCCTTGAATTCCCATTCATAGCTTTTCCCTGAGTACTGATTTGCTACTTGTGTAACTCAGTAAATTTGAGCTTAAATGATTATTGATAACTTGATTAATATTTATACCTTTGCTTTTTGATTTCGACAACTAGATATCAAATATGTGAACTTATTTCTAGGTTTTCTTGAAGGTTTTGAGTCACACCCTTGAAAGACCAAACATGTGAACTTTGGAAGAGAACCGAAATGGTTTTTGAAAAATCATACAAGTAAATATGATTATAATGTAAATGACCAAAATGCCCTTTGTTGAACATTGTTGGTGGTATGAACGATTTGGTTTTGAAAATGAAACAGGGTTATGTCTGAGCCAGTCTTGAAAATGAATCAAGTACTTAAAATGAATAATCATGAATTTTACCAAGATTGCATTGCCTTGCACAGAAACCGTATATGTCTTCACGTTTTTCTGTTAGATTTCCTTGGGTCTCGTTTAAGCAGTTTAGACTCGGTCTTTCGGTTTTTTTTCAGCCCAGATTGAGATTGGTCTATTTCTTCTTGTAAGGGATCAAGATCAGTCTATTTGTTCTTGTTAAACTAAAGCCCAAAAGTATGGTAAGGGAAACATGAATCTAAATCCCAAAAGAGAAATTGTCGTATAGGTTAATATATGCAACGTCAATGTAAATTATAAGTTTTTGCTGATCAACATATAAACTATTTAGATAACAATGTACAAGTGTCATCAAAATCGATATTACAAGCATGAACAGTGTCAAATAATTTGAAGTAGTGTCGTTGGTAAAAACATAAACAGTCTCTGTGTTGTCTGAATTCGTCACAACATTTTTCGGTTGGTGGTATACTAGGATCGTGCAATGCTAGAAAACAATCTTCAATATCAACAATGGTGCAATGTCTGATTTGTGGATATGCTTTGCCTGCTAGCATCGTGAGCATAACCATCACCGTAACTATTTTCTCAAAAGACTTCATGATTATTCAAAATAGATCAATCTGAGAGAGAGAGAGAGATGAGTTTATGGAAATATAACTCGGGTATTTATAGATGTTATAAAATGAAATTAAAGATTTTTATTTTGAAAAATAAAAAATATGAGTTTTAACATTAAATATTTTATCAAATATGTAATTACACAATGACCTCATACGTTTTGATTTGTGAAAAAATAAATTAATTGGCAGTTACGCAATCATTAATTTCGGCCATTGATTGCCTTGTAACCTTTCTAATCTTAATTTAGTTACTTAATTGAAAATACGTGGCCCTTTGAGACAAAATTATATTATGTAAAGCTTAATATTTGTTTCGTGTAAAACATCTTCAACGAACAACCTCCTTCAAAAGGTTGAAGGTTCAGCCCTTCAAGTGTCATTTTGAGCATATGAATAATTCAGAATATGTGTGGTTACTAATGGTGTACCTAACCGGTCAATCAATTAAGCCCATTCCTGACCCACATCCACCAGGCCGGCCTGGAACACTTACCAATCACAAGAATAATCCATCATAAGTCGATCTGAACCCGGCCAACCGTATTCCCGACTCATATAGTGACAAAACGCAGCCAATTAAATTCAGACTCACATGATAATACCAAAGCACAACAAGTAAAAAACAACATATTCCTGGATTCACGCAAAGGCAAGAGAAGCAATAAAATAAGAAAATGGTACACATGAGGTAGCTCCCTTTTATTCGGGTAATAAGCAAAGCTAGGTAAAACCTTATACCTTGAAAAATAAGGAAACCTATAAATACCTTAGAAACATGGCACCAGGGTAAGTTCAAAAAAACTACAACAATAAGCAATTCATATCAATTTACTTATTCGATATCTCTTAGGCATCAGAGAGAAATATCGGGGTCCATCCCTAAACATGGCTTTCTAACCTAGCGAGTGTCTATTCTGAACAACGTGATTTCCTGGATGCTCATTAGACAGAGTCCCAAGAGGATATCTACCAATGCACTAGGAAATCCATATAGCAACATTGGCGTCATCCGTATTATAGAGCATTGAAAGTTTTTGCTTTGAAATAAACGATACCATCATCCTGTATAAAAGAAACATGTTGTTGCATTTCTCTTTAGAACTCCTAAGGTTTCAACTAGGTACTTTGAGATTTTTTTTGTGTTTCCATTTCGGGTTGACTCGCGGTGATTCTTTCTCGTGTTGAGAAGTCAGGGTTTCGAAATGGAGTGGTCAGTTTTTCTTTCTTTTATATATACTGATTTGTATATTCATTTTGTTTTTCTATCTTATTTCCAGTAATAGGTTTGATTTCATATTTGTGGCTTGCAAGTTTCATTCAACTCAATAAAAATAAAAAAATAGTTTTCAACTTTAGGAATTTAATTCCTTGTTAATTTAAAATTTTGATTTCATAATCATAATAGTTTCTTTTGTTATAGTTCAAATACATGTTTTAAAGAACCTATTTTTCTTTTTGTTCCAAACCTGAATTATAAGAATTAATAAATAAAATGTAAATATCCACATTAATATATATATATATATATATATATATATATATATATATATAATAATAATAATAATAATAATTAATTGGAGGTTACGTTTACTAGGTAACATTTAAAAAAAAAACAAAAACAAAAAGTGTAAAGTGAAAAAAAAAAGAATTCTAAAAATCCCAAAAAACAATATTTGTCAAAATAATTTCACATTTGGCAAAAATGATTTTTATTTATGAATATAGATTTTGAATTTCCATTGATAAAGAGTTTAATATAGTAAACTTTAAATACATTTTTAAAGAAACTATATTTTCAATATGTATCAATTGCTAAATATTCGGTAATCACTATTACTTCCAACAAATTATAAATATTTTTAAGTTTTTAATTTTTAAGTTATTGTGTTTTGTTTATTTATTTTTATTAAATTTTTGTTATATTTATTTTTTCGTATATCAATGTCATTTGCATGATTGATTGTGTTTTGATACTATATTCAAATATCTAGACACATAATGTTTTGATACTATATTCAAAATTATATTCGTTTTATAAAATCTAACTTTATTAAATATCACATAATATATACAGGATATATATATATATATATATATATATATATATATATATATATATATATATATATATATATATATCTTTACTATCTTATAAAAGAAATCTTACTATTTTTAAAAATAGATTCATTATAATAATATTATTTTTTAAGACGTCCAAACTATAAAACTAACAGTACAACAACCTACAAATATAATAATATTATAATTTTAATCAATCCATATCTTTGACTCGGCTCTTGTATCTTTCCCTATTTTCTCTGTTTCTTATCTTGACCAGCGCTCTTCAAAACCAAATTGTCATTTAAATTCCCAGGCAATTCGCCTAATTTAAAATTTAAAAAGCACACATCTTCAAATACGATCAAACTACATGGTCTCTCAAACCCTAAATTCAACTCTCTCAAACCTGACAACGAACTTCACCACCGCCTCATAGCCGTCAAGAACCATCTCCCATTCTCCACTCTCAGTGTTGTTGCATCTTTGATACAGAGAAATAGTAGTCAGTACTGTGGAGCTGAAAAAGCACGCGTCCACCATTTCCCACGTTAACTTGTATCCTACAATGCTTCCCTTTTCTGGCATTCCACCACACTTCCATAGTTCTACTATTGATGCCACCAATATCGCCTTACTCTTTCTCTTTCTACTAGAAACGCATAGTCTACCCCTTCAATATCGTTGATGGTTCTCTAGCTCCGATACCGGAAGACGCCGAATCGCCTCCAGCAACGACGACTGCCTATGGTGGTGGTCCCCTCTTCCTTTTCATTCCCATTGGACCTCTGGTTCCCTTCTCTTGATTTCTTCTCCATATATATCACTTCCCACTATAGCTCTTATTTGATTTCAAAATCCAAACCCTATGAAATAGAAAACTCTACTTGGATGATAACAGTTAGTTCAAGCTTTATTTTATTTTGATATTTGTGGGTTTCAAATTATGGTTCTTGCTTCGCTTCTAAGAACGCATGACTTTACACTGATTTCTCCAATGTCGATCACCTACTTCACTTCTTTGCTTTTTTTTTTTTTTTTTTTTTTTTTTTTTTTTTTCTGAATTTGTGTTATTCACAAACAAGCTATAGACGGTCAATCAAGATGAACAAGCAAGACTTCATGAAGTTAGAGGTACTAATTTTAACCTCCTCGCACAGCTCCTTCATTTTCTGTTGATTACTCGCTGGTTTAACGGTTTTCCCCCTTTCATAGCTGATGCGAAAGCTATTTTGAAGGGTGGAGTCAAGGATGATTACGTGGATGATGGTTCACTCTCTGTGGATGAATTGTACATATAGATCTACCCATTTGTGCTTCTTTGAGGTTACTCCAAAGCTTCCTCCCCATAAAGATCGTAGATCTGACGCTTCTTGGGGTCGCTTAACACATCATACGCTTCAGAAATCTGGTTGAATTTGGCTTCCGCTTCTCCTTTGTTACTGCTAGGGTTTCTGTCCGGGTGCCAAATCATGGCGAGACGACGGTAGGCTTTTTTTAGGTCTTCATCACTAGCATTTCTGTAATCCATTGAATGATTTTCACTCTAAGGATTTTGATTTCAAAAAGATTACATCTTCACCGCCTCCGAAGTTAAAATTTTTGAGAGATGCAAAGGAGAAATCATTGAGAAGATTGATGGAATTAGAATCTGAGAAAAGGTCGAGTTTAATCAAGATACCAAAGAGAACGAGAAAGAGGAAGATGGTAAATATGTAATATTGGATGGTAATAAGGGCAAAAATGCAGAAGGGATTCATCGTCAAATGTCTAGGCGTTCACAGGTACTTCCATTGACTTCTTCTCCTTCAAAAAGAGGATCTGATATTTCATATTATTTTATTTCTTCTTCTGTAATAGTTGAATTTACAGAAGATGTTCACATCCGATTCAACAATTAGGGTTTACTTTTCAAATATATTTTTGTTATGATTTTTTCCAAATTTGAAATTGGAAATCTGATAATCAGAGTACCTGTAGGTAATTGGAACATTCTATCCGCTTGATTTTTCTTTCAATTCCACTTTCATGATCATTGATGAATCAATTACTTGCATACATAAAGTAGCTCCCTAGGTTCGCTTTCTATTTGTTGATTTCTTTGCTTGCTTTATAACGTGCTCTTCCTTTCTGGTTTCCATTTCTCTGTTTTGTTGGATTACAGAAAACCTCAAAAGGGGTGAAGGAGAAAGCTCCATCTTTACAAGAAACAGGATTAGAGAATCTACAGAATGTTCTAAAATGGGAAACCGGTTACATGTAAGCAAACATCATGAAAGAAAAACAAGTGGCATAGCTTACAAGAACCAGAGGTCAGAAAATATGGCACATAAAGTTGGTGATATCGTTAAACACAGTAGCAATCTGCCTGGCTATCTCCAGTGTGGGGGCAAAACTGGAAATATCAAATTTAAAGAGACAACTTCATTAAATTGAAACTCAATTGAAGCTTCTTACGATATCGTCATTTAAGCATCGTCCTTCCGGCGGCACATACAATACCGGAATCGACAATCGATGCTCCAAATTCGAATCGACCTTCTACTTCTTCTCTTATGTTTTCTACAGTTATTGTGTTGTTCAGAAGTCCACGTTCACGATTCCTTCTCAGGACTATCGTTGTGTTAAAGGTGATAATCAGTTCCTTGATTTTTCGTCTCCTCTGTATTTGTATGATTCCTTTTTTTGGTAAATTTAGGGCTTAATTAATTTTTTTTCTTTGTTATTTTCCCCTCCTTTAGATGTTGCCACCAATTTCTACTTAAACACAGAATAAAACTGAGTCATTCTACACTATTACTCATTCACATCTTCAACCTTGTAGCCTCCTCTTCAATCCTTCGCTTACCTCAAAAACAACCAAACATAAATGAAACCTCAAAATCTAAATAATAGAAAATATATGGTCAAATCTAGTAAGAAACACTAACCAATAGCATTTATGATTGTTTTCAAATGTTATTTTTACCTTTTAAAAGAAAAAAGCTTTCTGCCATTTAAAATTTGTTACAAAGAAAAATATTCGAAATAAATGGATTTGTATCTTTACTTGTAAGCATGACTTAAGCCCTCAGTCTATAGTTGTACAACACATTTCTACTATCGTCTATACAATTAGGCAAGAGACCATTTGGTGAAGAAAAGTGTTGGATCCATAATTATTAAATATGTGAACTTTATGTATATGTTGATAGATCAAGTTCCTTGAAAGTAAGATGTTTCCAAATAAAACCAATTGCCGTAAAAAACTGTTTGTCCCCGCCGCTTTGCGCGGGTACATAGCTAGTATATATATATATATATATATATATATATATATATATATATATATATATATATATATATATATAATGGTTGTAAAAATCAATCTAGGCGGCTGATTAACGTTTGGCAGCCTCCAACGGCCTACAAATAAAGGTTAGAGGGTAAAATAAACGGTCTTGGTCAATATCAGTTGGTCAAAACCGATCCAAATCAAACTAAATCGGATCCAAAATCGGGCTCAATGAACCCACCGGCTCAAAGGAGACAGCTAGCCCAAAGCATAGTTAGATATGAATTTCAATGAAGCCTTCTACCCTTTTTATAGAAATGTTTTCCCTTGATATTTTATTCCACCAACGACGTGGGATACTCAATTGAAAAACACAGGAACACACAAAGATAAATTCATTCTTCCTTCCTTCTCCTTCTTCTTCTTCTATTTTCTAGTTCGTATGTTCAGAGGTTGTTTGGGATTCTCGGTATACGACTCGATCATGTTAGTTCTTCAATCTCGACTCCAATTGGAAGATGATAATCAACAGAGGTTAGTTCTTCAATGACGTTTCTTTCAAGCTTGCTCAAGTCTTCAATCTTCGACGACGGTGACGACTAAGCCGATGTTGAAGTCTCGGCTGAAGAGACTTTTTGATCGGCTATTCCCTAGCGTTCTGAAGAACAATTCGATGAAGACAAACGGAGGTGGTGAAGTCATAGATGGAGAATTTGAACCGAGCTCTGTTTGTTTGGCTAAATGGTTCAGAATTCGGAGAAGACAAACAAGTCATTTCTCTCCACCTCAATCCACAAATCCTCCACCATGACTACCAGTTTCAATTCGAAGCTTGTTCTGGGCGTGTGAAGATGAACGTAGACGCTGAAAAGCTTGTTCTTGGGATCAAATTGGGCGTTCAGTACAAGTGATTCTTCTACTCTTCATTCGTTCTTCAAATTAATCTCATCGATTTACTAACCGGGTATTCTGGATTCGAACTATTGTTCATGATACCTATGATTTAATCTATTAATCATCATTTATGATGGAAGATGATTGAAACAAGTTGCTTAGTCGATGATAATTTGCATCTTCTTCTTCGATTATTTACTAATTTATCATTGTTTCTAGAATCTGAATATGAAATCTATAGATTAGGATGATGTTTCAGTTGATGTCTCCATTGTATCTGAATAATTTGCTTTTGCTGCTAATGCCATTGACAAAAGTATCCGATTTCATGTAATTTACATTAAGAACTCAATAAAGAAATCAACCAATTGGGGAAACTAGAAATTGAAGCCCCAAAAGATAGAAGAGTAAATTACACGAATCGTCCCTCGTCCGGGTGCCAAAATGCGCGTTCAGTCCCTATTTTCAAAAATTAACTCGGACCGTCCCTCGTTTGGCTAAAAGTTATACGCTTCATCCCTCCGGACATAAAAAGACAATTTTCCCCTTATCTATTTCTTTTTTGATTTATTTTCTATTTAATTGTTATTTGTTAATTGTTTATTGATTTTGTTATTAGAAAAAAATATTTATTTCCTTTAATTAGGGGTGGCAAATCGGGCCATCGTGTCGTGTTTTTGCCTGACACGACCATACGACAATGTTTTATGTAACACGAACACGACACGACACGATGTCGTGTTTTTTTTAACTAACACGAAAACGAACCAATTAAAAAACGAAAAACACGACACGACACGACAAAGATAACATAATATAATAATTTGTTTATTTAATTAATATTTAATTATACATAACTCGAAAAACACGACAAACACGAAAAACACGACAAATAAATGTTAAATCGTGTCAATTTCGTGTCAAATTTTGAACACGAACACGACACGACACGACACGACATCGTGTCTTTTACACTTGACACGAACACGACACGAACACGAATTCGAATTTCAGTTTCGTCCCAATTTCGTTTCGTGTCGTGTCAACAATTGCCACCCCTACCTTTAATAAAAGAAATAGACTCTAAACCTACACATCGTCTCCCTCCCCCCCATTTATACTTCAGTTCGTCTTTGTGCATCTCATCACCGGACCAAGTCACAAGTCCACCGGAGAAGAGGGGGATTCAGATCGAACACAAATCGTCTCCATCGACAGACCTCCTCTACATGTACAACCTTTTTCCCACTATGTACAACCTCCTCCTGAAAACACCAGTTGAACTCCAACTGTGGTTGCGACACACGAAGGAAAAAGAGATTACCGGTGGTGGTGACGCTCGATCTGAAACCCACAAAGTGAAATCCTTCATGAAACCCCTAAAGTTCTCGATCTGAAACGACACATCTCCTCCCTATTACTCAAAACCCTAGCGCACGGGTAACGATGGTGACATTTTGTTTGCTCTCTCTCTCTCTCTCTCTCTCTCTCTCTCTCTCTCTTTCTCTCTCTCTCTCTCGGATCAATAGACACACACAATGTGTGTTTATGTTTTGTGTTCTCTGATTTGGAAGAAAAACGAGGAAACAAATGGCGATGACAGCTCAAGGGTTTCAGGAAAAAACCAGTTGAGATCAGAGGGAGAGAAACCAGTGTGTAGATTTTAGGTTTTCAAAAGGATTCACCACCATTTTTGATTTCTGGAATGAGTTGGAGATTTCTAGAACAATTTTTAGTTTCTAGAATCATTTGGCTTGCAGGTATCAGATTTTTTATTTTTGATTTTCGATTTCTAGAGAATATCATATCAGGAGGGGAAGATAAGGGGTGGATGCACACATTTTCGATGTTGCTCCATTTTTCCGGTGATGGTGCCGGTAGTTAAGCGTTCAACAAAAGAGATATATATATATATATATATATATATATATATATATATATATATATATATATATATATATATATATATATGTCTCACAAAGGGATTAAGCGTGTAAATTTAAATTAACGAGGGATGAAACATGCAACTTTTAACCAAACGAGGGACGATCTGAGTTAATTTTTGAAAATAAGGGCTGAGTGTGCATTTTGGCATCCGGACGAGAGACGATTCGTGTAATTTACTCAAGAAAGAATTTACTCCGGTTATATCTAATTTTGGATCTTGTTTGATTGCAGTGTACGAGGAGGATCTGTGCTAAATCTGTTCTGGAATGTCTTCATTCGAAAGCACTGGAAGATCCTAATTGAGAATATGATAGATGAATTTTCATTAAATTTGAATTGCATACCATAGGTAATGTGATGATTTTTCTGCAAGTTCTATACTAAGCATTGTGTATTTGCTGCGCATTGTTTTCTAA